TTGTGTAAAAAGTAAAAGAGAATTAAGAAGAATAGTAGATGAGATTTGAAGTTGAAGTTGATAGAGTGTTGGGTATCCTAAACAGACTAATTTTTATATGTCGCCATCACGTGATAGTCAGGATAATTTCAAGCATCATAAGCATCATTACTAGCGCTAGGATGAGTCACAGGCATGCCATAATGGCATGCCTAAAAACAAAATAGTTACAATGTAGTATGCCACTTAATATACAGTATATATCGATATGTATGCGTCTAATATCGAGAAATTTCGGAGCAATAGACAGTCAACGAGCTAACAAGGTCATTGAGAAAGTTCGGAATTTATAAATCATTTGACAGGCTAATTATGAAATTTATTAGATGGCATGCACTCACCCTAATCATTACGTTATAGATTCTTGTTTCCAAGGCTTCAATAGTTTTATTTGAATGCAAATATAGAAATTTAAAGGACTTTATAAAAATTTATTTGAATTCGACAAAAAAAAAAAAAAAAATTCAAAGAGTGTCTCAAAAGTTCAAAACATCTACAAAAACAAAGATTAGAAATGTATGCTATATACACTATAAAATTGGTAGATATCCACAAATTAAATCCTTGAAATCAGGTCCACGATATTTTAAAATCTTTTCTCAAAATCCAAATGCGGATATGCCAACTCACAATTTTTTTTATCATTACAAACTGTGATAACAAGTAATGCAATAACTACTATCAAAAATATTTTAGCATAGGTAGTTGTCCACCGTTTTCCTAATGCTATTCTCGAGATCACAATTGAGATACGTAAAATCTTTCCAAGTCCACCAATATTCCACGAAATTTCTGTAGAAATGGTGAGAGGAATCAGATTTTTTGGTGTTGTAGTAGTTGTGGGTTTTTTGTAAACGATGATTGAAGAGCAAGGAATTTCAAAAGGTGTTTCAGGATGATCATATATTCCAGAAGGTTGTGTAGTATATGAAAGTGTAGAAAAATAAAGTGTAGATAGCAATTCAAGGCCGTCCTGATATTGCGTAGAATTGATAATAAATGGATTCGAATAAAGTTGGTCTACAGGTGAAAGGATAGGTTTTGAAGGTGGTGACGACCGTGGTATGGGACCAAGATAGATTATAGTGCTTTTGATTGGTCGAAAGAATGATCGTTTCATTGGTCTTGCTTTCGTTGCTTTTGTAGTGTTTTGATTTTTCATGATCGTGGACCTATGAATCCTGTTCAGAAACAAATTCACAAGCTGGCTCGTAAAATTTAGTTAAGTTACGTGTTTTATACGTTATGACGATCTCAATCACGTGAATACGGTTTCGTAATACCCGGAAAATATATTTACTGAATTTTTTCTTTTTTTTTTACTTTTTCCTTGCGAGAGCTGTTATTTTATAAGGGACATTCAACAATCCTATCATTACAATTTCAGCTTATGTATGATCGTATCTTCCAATATATCGCTCATTGTCTTATTGCTATAAATTAGGTAAATTAATTAATTATTTATTTATTGCTATAAATTAGGTAAATTAATTATTTTATTAATGACGAGATATTTATTATATGGTGTCATATAGATAATGATTTATTTTGTGATATTGATAAATTATTAAATGTATTATTAATTGTTTTCGTGTCTGAATCAAGTGATTATGAGACTCTTAAGGCGTTGCATACTTGGGTGTGATAAATTTAATAAGGGATGTTAGCGAGCTGGTTTTGAGAGAGCGATGTATAATGAATGCGCAATGTATCTCCAGCCACAACATGAACGACATAAGGTTTCTAATGTGCATAGTAATTCCATAAGGGCGAACTAATGATGGTTAAAATGATGCTTCACTTTTTATTCGTTTTTTTTGATCAAATATGAAAGAACACACTTTCTGGAACCTACTATATTACATCAGAGGCACATGATATCATGTTAAAACGCTACTTCATACAGTGGATTTTAACAATCACAACACTAATTTAGTTAGATACTTAATTATACCAAACAAGAAAAAGTTATAAAATTAATTCATTACAAGGTTTCTAATAAAATGTGATGGCGTTTTATTCCAAAAGGACCATTACGAGAAGATAAAAATTAATCCATATCGCTGATCGTTATCAGCACTTTATTTTATCACCTAACGGATTATATCGTATACATTTCAAAAATGAACACTGATAAATGCTATATGCTTATGTGATTTTGGCGTTAGTATGGTCTACATGTCGTGAATTACAATTTCATAATATATCTGGCATTTATTAAAATTAATTAATCATTTAAAATTTATTGCATTGATCTTTTACACATCAACATTTGGGTTTTTTTTTATTACAATTTTATCATATGTGATTTATTGCGTAGAATAGTTTTTGCGTATTATGAGTAGGGATTGGAACCGCTTAAAGTTTTCTTAACCGTTTAATCGTTTAACCGTATTAACTGTTTAATTTAGCCGGCATTAAAATTGTTTGGCCCATGATCAACATAATTCGGATCATATTTCTGTATTTAGTTGATAAGACCCAAGATGTGTTTATCTATACAAAAGTTTCTTGTTTCTAAGAGTAAATTCGTATACAAAAAAATTTGATTGGCTAATAAGACTTGATATCGGAATATAAAAGAGCTGAAAATTTCCGAAAAGAAATAAAATTTCGAATTTTCCGAAAAGATTGTTTTAAAAAATCGACCTAGCTAATTATAATACAAATCTTAACAATAACAAATTTTGCGTAACACAAAATTTTTACGAGTTCCTCCATCTTGTTACAGCTATCATAATTCCTGGGACACATTTGGCTTTTCAGCCGATCCGGTTAAGTTATTGATTCAGCATGATCCGTATTAGTATAATAAAATAAGCTATATATATATTTTTTTATATCATACGTATAATGATTGTCATAACAATTTTCATTCGAATGCTTGTCCAAAAATGTTTGGTGTGCTTTAGTTTGTACGAAAATT